CCGAGCAAGGCCCAAAGAGCTGACATTGGCTACTCTAGATGCTTATACGTTTTTTTTTTTTTATGCTTTTAATTTACAGCTTTATGTTTTCTATGCTTTTATACACGATTAGCAACGCGCTAGACATTTTATATATGAAAATCAATAAATTTTACTACTAATTCTGATGACTTATAATTGCTACTTCAGAATATAAAGCTTGTCAACATACCAGATGAAAAACCGAATGAAAAAAACATGACAAAAATACAGAAAATCAATAAGCAACGAACAGGCCAGCTATCTCCCTCCCCATTCGTCCTCATCGGTCATCCCCGTTATGTGTGTTACAACTGTTTGCAGCTTTAGAAAGGCAAAGAGGCACAACAAAAAGTCAACTACACCCAGGACAGCTCTTTTTAAAGTAGAGCTGCCCGAGGTGGGATTCGAACCCGCAGTACTCTGCAGTCTAGGCGAGTGCTCTACCAACTGAGCGCCAGGGCAACTCAGCTGGTAGGGGTTCGAATCTTCAACATGATACAACACAAGGCAAACCTCAAACCACTGTGCTATGGCACATGTATACATAGTGTGTGTCGCTAGAAACACACTGTGTTGTATATTTCATGTCCCACAGTAAAGAAAAGGAGGAGATGAATTTGAAGTGTAACTCACTTATCCAAGTAAGTCACTCCCACTTACATTGTAACCACACCATAATGCTACAGGTTTTAGCACTTTTGCTAGGCTACACGAACAGCACTAGGTGTACACATTCCATGCTGTGGAGTCGTTTTTAGGAGAAGGAGGGTGTGGTGAGGGAGAGAGACGAGCTGAATTCGCTGGCAGAGGAACTCGGGAGAGAGCTCCATCAGAGCAAGGCACAGGTCGGAGAGTTGAGGACTGAAACTGAATATCTCAACACTCAACTAGAGGTATGCTACCTCGTTACCAAGTTGTTGAGACATACAGTGATAATATCACTTTCACACTTTTTCATTTTCATGGTGAAGTCGCAATATGCCTAAAATTAAAAACAGGCACTGTAATGTCAATAGTGGTTCGTGGGGAGACCTTTTAACTGCAAAAGCATCTGGATTTTTGTCGGTACGAAGCAGCAATTCTCAGCTTCTGTCGTTTCAAGAATAATTTCCAGCTGTAGTTTATTTGTTGTGTATATGTACCAGCAACACCCAGGATCGACAATTCCACAACTGCCCTGGGTTGGGTCTGAAATGTTTGTGACTGTCTTTCACTATATGTATGCTGTATCAATCTGCAGACAGAGTTCTTTCTTTATTACTGTTTCTGCTATATAGTGTGCTAAGTGTTCGTCCACTATACTCACTGGCAGGAGGCGAGACTATCTCAGGAGCAGCTGGCAGACCAGGTGGCCAAGGCCAGTGAAGACCGACAGACCCTAGAGAAGAAACTAGAATCGGCCGAAAAGGTCAGCCAGCGTCTCTCGTGTCAGTGTCCACATTGCGCTGAGACGGCGGAACCTCCCTACAAGGGACACTATATGGGGCCAATGATTTGTCCCTTATAGAGAGGTAGTCCCTATCTCGGAGGTCAAATAATACACTAAAGTATTAGCAAGGGGTTGAAACAAGTGTCCTTTGTAGAGAGGTCGTCCCTATCTCGGCCCGAGGGTCCCTTAATATCGGAGGTTCCACTGTATTTTGATGTGTTTCTCTCTGCAGTTGGCAGAGAAGAGGAAGACCCTGGTTGACGAGATGTCAATTAGAGGCCAAGAGACAGCCGAGGAGCAGAAGAAAAAGATGGAGGTGGTTCAAGAGAAATTGAGGGTGAGGGAGGGAGGGGAGGGAGAGTGTTGGTGGGAGAGGGAGAGACAGTGCAGTGGCTTATAGCTAGGGTTATAGTCTGATTTGTTGCAAGATCTATTCTCTCTGTGCCCACAGAAAGAGGTGGAGTCTCTGGAAAGACTACTGGATGAAGAAAGGGTGAGAATAATACTTGTATGTTAGTAGACGATCACTATGCTACATGTACACAAGAGTGGCAAGAGATTAAGTTGTAGTGTAGATGACTTGCTCCCATAGAACTGAAACAATGCAAGGATAAGCAAAAAAGCACACGAGTCTGAGTATGAAAATGTACCAGTGGACTGACTTCCATAAGTTGTAGTGTAGATGACTTGCTCCCATAGAACTGAAACAATGCAAGGATAAGCAAAAAAGCACACGAGTCTGAGTATGAAAATGTACCAGTGGACTGACTTCCATAAGTCAGGATTCCTGACTGGGAACGACATTTGGCTTGATTCCATCATAAGAGAATGTAGCAGTATAATTATGTTGGCTAAATTTAGAAACTGTTACAAATTAATTGCATTCTTTCACTGAGCCCTATTGTCAAGTTACGTAACTTTATTTACACATTCCATTCACCCAGATGTTAAAATCTCCACCATTCATTATACATACATGTACTTAGTGCATAGCTGATTCGAATCGACCAATCGGATTTGTTAGTACCTCCTCCCTCTGTCGTCCCATGTCTGTCTTGTGTGGTGTAGTCGGAGGTTCGCAGACTGAGCACAGCCAACGACGAGATCCCAGAGCTGCAGAAGAGATTGAGGAGTTTGGAGGAGGAGAAGGAGTCACATACCACCACTGTCACCAACTTGGAGGTCAGACTGACATGTACTACAACATACACACTGTACATTAACCTACCACTGTATTGTACTCAACTACTCTCTTAAGATGTTTGCAAGTGCATGAAGTGAAAATTGTGCAAAGTCTTGAAACCCGAGATCAAGCCATTTGGTGAAGGAATTGTACATACCACAGTACACTGTAGACCAAGTGGTAAATTTTGTGGTTTGGTATTTCACTGATTTTTGTGGAGGAATGTTGAGTTCAGAATTCACACATAGCATGTTACCTGCTGTGTGGCAAATGTCCTGTGGCAGTTGTATAATATGTGTAAGTCTACATGACGTGTTTTTGTCTGTATACAGGCAACTATAAAGGAGCAGAGAGAGAGTCGCGAAACTGAATTGCAGAGACTTACAGAAGAACATGAGACAGATAAAGAGGTACTGTATATACAGAACACATACAGTGGAACCTCCGATAAGGGACCCTCCGAGATAGGGACAACCTCTCTACAAGGGACAAAACCATATAGTGTCCCTTGTTCGAGGTTCCACTGTAATATCCACATACATACTCTAGTACAAATCATCTCGTCCTTCTACATAGATTCTCTATACATGTAGTGTGCTGCAAATGACAGCACACTACTACCTACATGTGCTACTGTGCTGCAACAATTCCTAATTAAAGCACTCCATGTTCTCTGTCCCTGGTGTTGTGCTGGCCCAGTCTCTCAGTAGCCTGTTGAGTGAGGTGAGGAGGGAGGTGGAGGAGGAGAGAGTGAGGGCCAGAGAACTGGAGATGGCTGCCCAGGACAAGGAAGAAATGGTCCGCATCGTGGAGAAGAAATCAAATGCACTGGTGGGTCACAGTTCAAGTGTAAATGTGGTGGAATTCCACTGAGAAATGTATTTCCACTGTCTCTACACATGTACAAGTGGTTGAGAGTGGTCATAGTCACAATTCGCTTGCAAAACAGTGAGAAAGTTGTCATATGTACAATAATTATTTATAAGAATGTGGATATTCAGATAATTCACGCCATAGCGTGATGTTCCATGCATTCACATGCACAAGCAGAGAGCATGTCATTTGTACATCTCTTTGTTTTTTCCTACAGCTATAAGCAAGTGTAGATAGTACACTCCTCATACTGTCTCTCTTTCTCTCTCACACACACGCACCACACACGCACCACATACACAAACACAAATGCACATTCACACAGCTGAAGGACTTGAAGCGTCAGTTGGTACACATGCAGAAGAGAGAGGAGAAGAGGCAGGAGCAACTGCCCGAGTTAACCACAGGTATATATTATAGCAGGCAAGATGGCTGTATATAGCTCCATCCATACCAAGGCTCTTTCTCCTCCCCCACGCAAGTAGTTATGACACTCACTCTCTCATTCAACTTGTGTTACACAATGCCTAAATACCAAATCTTCAATGTCAGCTGTTTGGTATAAATTGGGTCAATGACAAGATGGAGTAGAAGGCAAACAAAGATCTGGGGTTTGCCCATGCAGCGAATGCACCTTTCACAGCAGTTTGCAAAGTTGTGTAGCTGGCTTTATTGGCAGTATTATACTTCTCTTGTGTGTGTGTGTGTGTGTGTGTGTGCTTCAGGAGGGGAAGGATATGGAGCAGGCCATGAGCAGAGTGCAGACAACGTCTCCAAACACAGCAGGTCAGTGAGCTACTAGACTGCATCTTGTGTAACATTATGCAACCCTGGCTGGTATGTAGGTAGGTAGGTAATGGTGGTTGGGTTTGGGTAACCGCTAACTCTGTAATCTGGCGACCAAATCTGCATGCACTGTTGGTTGGGGGACTTTCATGTGGCCTTTGGTAGGCTAGGACTGCACTCTGCAATTTTGCTGAGTGTTCCATAGCAAAAACAAAGCTCTCACTGAACCAAAGCCGACAGAGTATAGAGATGGTTTTTAGCTATTTAGGTAGATCTACAACCTTAGGCAGAAGATTCTGAAGAGCCGGCCAACCCCTTCATGTCTACGTACCCCTCGTTTTCCAGTGTCAATTACTGGACGACCTCTGCCGCTCTTATACTGAGCAACTTTCGTCTTGAACTGGGCCCCTATCGCTTAGTACAATCTTTTAGTAAATTTCTAAATTTAGCCCTTACACACATGGTCTGTCACAATTTCGTGAATGCTGTCATACCTATACACAGAGAGAGCAGCTTGTCTTCTATCAGAGGTCACCTGCCCGCAGAGGGGAGTATCTCCAGTCCTTCCTCCAGCTATGGACCTGCTGGGGGCTCCTCCTCTTTCCCTCTCAATGTACATATGTACTCTTCTCTCTCTTATTTATGTACCGCTCACCAGTCTCTAGTGCTAAAGTTACTGCACGTGGCGTTTATTTCACATATACAATGTTATGCACTTGCCTGTTGTTGCTGTTGTTGTTGTTGTTGTTGTTGTTGTTGTTGAAAGAGTACATTTTAGGCACTGCAATATTGTCCAGAAACTATCACTTCTACTAAGACTCCATCAAACAGTTGAATGTACTGTGAAGACCATAGCACCATTAATGTCCTGTGTATTATACTTTTGTATAGGTGGGAGGAGTTAGTGAGGAAATGAGAGACCTTCTGGCTAGAGTCACTGAACTACAGAGGGAGAAGTGGGTGCTGGAGGAGAGAGTGAGACACACACACCCACACACTCTCTCTCTCTCTCTCTCTCTCTCTACGTACTGGCACATTCCTAAGGGAATTTGACAGTACACACGTGGGCCAAATTTGTAACAATACTACCCAGTAGAGATGAAAGATTGCAAGTTGAATGCTTCTCTAAGTGGTCTGAAAATAATAGTGTAGGAATTTCGTCATATTTTGGGAATGTTTTTGTGTCAAACCCACAGTAATTTAACCCTACATGGGTTGAGAGAGCATCACACAATACACATCATTTGTAATATCAGAAAAGGACAGGGATGGTTTCATGTAGCTTTGCTGTGTAATGACCCCCTGTTTCTTCCTTTTTCATGTTATGAGCCATCCCTATACCCCTTCATTTGATATTTCCACTTGTGTTGTTTGACTGAACTGTATCAGGTAAATCACCTGGAAACGACAGGGTCAGCCCTGGCAGATGACGTCGTCAACAAGTCAGAGATCATCAAGTCTTACTACATGCACAACAAGGCTGGTCAGTGAGTCTAGTCTACCGCAAAATTAATGTGTTTGTAAGGCAACATGTTAGAGCTGGAAAGTTCGAACAAGAACTAGAACATTGCAACACACATATATACAGCAATTCATTTTTTCCCATGCATATTTGGTATTAGGGTGTATATGCATGCATTGCCTGTCACATAGAGAGAAAAAACTGTATTCACTTGCAAACTAGACTTCTTCTTGCAGCTTCTTGAGTGGGCATGTCGTAAATTACCTTTCCCCGGAGAGTTTTGCATGCCATCCATAAATCTTACCCATGAATTTCAGGAGAGAAATCTGTTTTCTCCAGACCACACACCACCTCGGCGGACGGGGAGAGAAGAACTTCTCCGTCCGCTTATTTTCTTGTTTAGTCATCCTGCTCCTTTTCTTTGACTTTTTTTCCTCTTCTCTTCTCTCTTCTTCTTTTTCTTGGCCGATCATCTCCTGTCGCTCCACTAATAACTTTTTTCCCTTACTAGTGTCATTCTTCCCCTACGCGCCTCATCTCCCAATGTCTTCTCCTCATTACCTTGCCCCCCCCTGTCTACTTTATCTCCTCTATTTGTCCCTTCCCCCCCCCGCTTCGAGCCCCATCTTCTTCTCGCCTTCCTCTCTCCCCTGTTGTGAGTCTTCCCCCCTTCCTGCTCCTCCTTGCCCCCTTTTCCCCCCTGCTCCGCCTTACCATCTTTTTTCATCCCACCTTTTCCTCGTTCAGCCCACTCCCCAACTTATCTTACTTTCTTCTACCCCCCCTCCCCCACCCCCTTGCGGGCAAAAGCATTCAAGCGCAAGGCCACGAATATCGGATCTTGAATACTTTATGACTACATGAGCAATGGAATG